CCACAACATGAAGAACTGTATTATGGTGTCATGGTATTAGGAAGGTTGAGAAACACTGTTCTATGAGAATGGAATAAGCTCACCTTTTGCCACTCTCCTCAGAAATAGTTCTTTTATTTTTTTTATAAAAGTCAAGTTACGATATTTACATTGATCCATGGATAAGCCAACCCAGGTTGATATTTTTTTTGGCTAAAATATCTAGACTTATACATGGGTATGTACAGTAAGTTATTTCCTTACTATCCAGAAGTAATCAATTAGGTTTAGGCCTTCATTGGGAAATATATTGCATTGCATAACTTTAAACCTGGTTAGCTCCAAACTGTTAGGTCATACAGTAATTGGACTCGTATGAGAAGGGTGAAATCAGTGTTTCCGTATTTGGATTCTAATATAATATGCAGCTTTTCTGGCACATTAAAATATTAGTATTGGCTTTTCAACTACTTTATGGCAAAACATATTATTATATCTTTAATGCTGAAAGTGAGTCAATGTTTTTGCTGGCACTCTGAAGTGTTAATGACTGAAGTGTTAATGATCAGCAGCTCTCATCTTAATTTAACCTTAATTCGTTCTGTTGTCATCAGCTTTTTTATTAAAAAAAACTTAATTTGACTTCTTTCTTTCATTTTTAATATGGTTCTTCTAATTACTAAAATGACTTGATGTCACATCATTGTTTTGCTGTTCTTTCAGATGTACAGCAGATAGTACTGCCAATCAAAAGACACAGAGTTATCCTCCTTTTTTTAATGGACAGCCAGTGGGTTAAAAAAAAACAGATGGGAAAAGGAATGGGAAAACAAAGGGTTACAAGTGGGTTACAAGTGCAAGGCTGTGTTTGGGCTCTCCATAATATTAGTGAATGGAGCAGAAGTATATCTTGCTAAAAAGACTTGTCCTGAAGCCAGAAGTTCAAGAAAGTGCATTTTTAACTACATAGGCAGACAGTCTCATGACTAATCCCAGCACTTATACTTGTTAAACTACTATTATCAGACTTTGTGTATTAAGACTTACAATGCAAGATCTTTACAGCAGCTGAGCTGGGCTGGGTTTTTCAAGCTTGTGTAATCTGCCTTCAGCTGTTTGTTTTTTGTTTTGATTTTTTGTTTTAATCTTGAGAGTTATTAACACTGACTAACACACACTTTGGTGCCTCAAATGTTAGGCCTGTTTCTGGGTATATTTGACCTGCTGATTCCAGAAATGGCACCAGTTTTCACCTATCAATTCTAAGATTTAACATATAGAACATATAACATATACCATTTCATCTGCTTGCCCATAAAAATCATGATAACCTTATCTAAGGAACTAGAGCTGATGCAGTATATCCAATGCAATTTTCTGAATCAGCACCCCAAACAACGCCAAAAACTGACCTAAATACCCAAGGCACCAAGAAGTTTTTGTTGGGTCATGTAATATAGTAGACTCAATACTGTAGGCTGAAATCTCCCATTTATGGTTGCTTCTGTATTTTACTCCCCCTCCCCTAATAATGGACCACCTCTGGTGGGCTTTTTAAAATCAACCAATTAGTTTTCTAGTTTTTAGACTAGGTTTTGGGGTGGGTGGGTGGTTAGTACACTGTGGAAATTGTTGTCTGCAAGTGCTACGGCCTATATTAGATACTGGCAAATAAAACTATTGATAAACAATGCCACCTGCTAATGATCATAGGACATAATCTCAATGAATATTGTAGGTTTTCTTTCCAGGAATCCATAAACTGCAGCTGATTCTGATGTGGGTATAATTTCCAGGTTATTTTTTGAGTTTATTGGAACTCAGAGTATCTTGGAGCATTCTGGGACTTTTCCACTCTTGCGTGCAAATCTGCCTTTTGTTTTCGCTTTCCCATGGTACAGTATTATAGCTGTACTTCTGTTAAATATTAACTGCTGTTGGCCTCAAGATAGAGTTTTGCATAGTTTGAAGTAGTTTTGTATTGCCTGGATATTCTTTTTTTAAAGTTTACTATTTATATTGTGCCTGTACTCCTGTGAGCTTGAAGCAGTATACATATATATTCAACTTTCTTATGTTTTGTTTCACAGCAGCCCAGTAAAGTTGGTTAGGTTAAGAGAGTTTGCCTGGCCCAATGCCACCCCACGAATTTCATCCCTCAACAGGATTAGAGTTTGGACTTCTCAACCCATGTTCAACACTAGCCGTTACAGCAGGGGTTCTTAACCGGGAATCTATAGATCCCTTGGGGGGGTCTGTGGAAAGATTTCAGGGAGTCCATCAGCTTGAATTGGAAAAAAAATCATTTTTCCCTCTAACTGAAATCTAGCAGTATTCATTTCATATCATGTTGCAGTTGTGGCATATCTCAAAAAACCGCTTAAACTCATCCATATTTTGAAATTACAATAGTTGTTAGACCTAATTGCACATGATCACAGTCCTGCTGTGTACTAACTAAAATTTAATTTAAAGACATACCAAAGTTGAGTGTTATAAAACTATCTGCCAATAAAGTCAGATAAGTGGTCTGTGGTTTTCACCTGGCAAAGGGGTCTGTGGAACAAACAAAAACAAATAACTACTGCACAATAGAGATTGAAACTCAGCATGATATTTAACATTCCAGAATTAGGAGATCTGCTTCAGTTTCTCTATCTGGACCTTCTCTCCCAACTTATTGAAAGTCCCTATAACTCAAGAGCTTGGAAACAAAAGGATTAATTTCCACAGAAAGAAGAAAGCAAGCTTCCTGATCTCCAAAATGCATGATATGTTAGGTTTGCTTGGGGGGAAAAAAAACAAGCCTTTATTGAATATCATGGCAATCCCCTCCATGCAAATATTGCATTATGGTCTGAACCATGTACTTTATATATTTTGGTGTGTGTTTATTGAAAGGGTGTCAGAGCTAAACATAGCTACTTTTAAAGTGTTCTGTTTACATGTAAAATACAGTTTGGAACAGGAAAAAAGAGATACTTGCAAGTAGATGAAATTTTAGATGCCAAAATATTAGTTCATCTAGTCTTGGTTCCTTTGTCCTAGTTCTGATGAAAATAGATATGTGAGAGGTGCCTGTTGTTGTTTTCTTTACTTTATCTGCACTACTATGAAAAAAAACCAACAACTATAACTAAAACTTTCCACATATTTACAGTAAGCTTTGTTCCTTTTGTGTGTGCTGTGAAATGATTGATTAGCTTGCCATTGCAAACTGGTATAGCCAAGTGTTTTATCAGCAATAAGAAATTTAGTTCTATGCATTGGAACTGTATCTGAAAAAAATCTGCCCAAAGCCCTTAATTTGCATTTATTCTTTTCACTATTAATTAGTACAACTTCAGTAGTAAAAGTGAACACTCTAAGAAATTGTTTTGAGCTTTACTGGTACCTGAACAAGGGATGCTTAATTTTACCTATGGTTGGTAGAAATAAATGAGCTTCACACCATAGTTTGAGAAGCTGGCTTTTTCCCCACTAATCAAAATTGTAAGCCTTATAATATGTTATAGTTCATTTCAAAGAAACTGGAAGCTTTTAATTTCCTCTTTTTGGCTTTGCCAGAGTTTTGAATGATGTATGAGACCGGGGGTGGCTGAACTCATTTTTGCAACTCTAAACCATGTGCCACCTTGTGCTTCCATGCCCCTAGGGTTTTTACGTTACTTTAAAAACAAAACAAAAAAGAAAACCTGCTAATTGATACTACTGCAGGGGTCCAGAACCGGGAACTTACATTGGCATAGGCCACTTTTATTTATGTATTTATGTATTTATTTATTTATTTGTGGTATTTGTATACCACCCTTTTCAACCCTGAAGGGGACTCAGGGCAGATTATCTGATTTAAACTGGATTATATGAGTCTTCACTGCAATATAATCTGGAATAAGAAGACAATCTAGGATCACATCGTGGGAAGTAGGAGCAGTGTGGAAGGGTCCATAGATCCAGACCCCCAAAATGACTAAGACTTCAAAGTCACAACTGGAAATCCCTTTTGCTTGTGGTTTTCACCTGAAACATTGAGGTGTACCTTGCTACAGGTGCGAAATATGTCCCCTAACCCAGCTTTTCTCTAGTTTGCTTGCAATGCTGGTGTTAAGTGTTTTGTACATGTTCATGCACATGCAAGGACCTGGGGGTTCTCCTTGGATTTTGAAGCTTAGTGGCAACTTTAACATATAATACTCATTCCAATATCTAATGGGAATGAAGTTTACTAGTTGGATAAGATGATACACATATATTTCTCCTTTTTGCTCCCTTCCTATTTTGAATGCAGGCATGTAGCCGGGGGGGGGGGCCTCGGGGGGCTTCAGCCCCCCCCGAAATTCTCTGGTGTCGCGAAAAGGCCTTACTGGTGCATTATTTAAACTGTTATGTTTATTCATATCTTGATCTGATCACCATACTCAATATATCCCATATGCATGGGGGTATTGGGGTAATGATACAAAAGGTTTGCTAGGCTAGACCCTCTTTCACTCAGACTCAGCCCCCCCCCCCGAAACTCAGCCCCCCCAAACCCCCCCTGAAAATATTCAGCCCCCCCCCCCCCGAAACGAAATCCTGGCTACGGGCCTGTTTGAATGTTAAACTTCTTATGTATGAAGTGTTGTTTTGTATTTAAAATTTCCACATGTAGTAATTATGTTATGCTAGGATATAAAAGCTTCTCTTTTCAAGCATCGTCATCATCATTGTTGTTGGACTTTATCCTGTCATGTCTCCAAACCTGAGATTCAATACAGCTTACAAAGTAGTTTGCTAGATGCCTCAATTTGGAAAGACCTTAAAATCTAAGGAAGTGAATGCCTTGCTTAAAGCTTTGTCTGTTTGTTGATGTTCCTCTGACTTGACAAACTGAATTAAATATGTACTTAATGGTATATGAGAAGGTTTAAGATTGACCATATCATGTTAATTTAGAGGCTAAAATTTAGAGTTTTGGAATGATTTCAGAGGTCAAGTTCCTTTTGAATTCAAATGACCTGTTTCTGTTCTGTCTTTTTCAGGACACCTGCAGCTCCCAAGCCTGATCCTATACCTGTACAGCTGGTAAGAATTTCTTTTTCTATAGACACAGGGAAATTGTCAGTTAACTCGTTCACTTGGGATCCTTCTCTTGTCAAACAACATTGTTTGCAGAACTATTCCAGTGCAACATGGGTAGTCTATTTATAATTTAATTATTTGTTTACTTATTCAATTTGTATTTTCCTTTTTTCTGAGAATGAATCTCAGTGTATCCTCTTTCCCATCTTAAAAATGGGACTTTGGAATATTTTAAAGGGCAGCCCGCCCAATAACAATGAGCCACGGTGCTTGGGAGCGCCAGATTGGCTCCCGGCGCACCCAGCATCCTCCATCCCTAAAACGTCATTTCCGAAACGGGCGGAAGCCCGTAAAAAAGATGGAGGATGCCGTTTCGATATTTAAAAACACTTCCAGGTTTGAAAATATGTCTTGTAATCATTTTGTAATTGTTAAAAATAACGAATATTTAACGAATTACAAAATTAACGAACGAAACCGCCCAGGCCTACTATATACCCCTATCTTAGGCTCCTCCAAACGAAAAATGGGTTCTTTCCTTTTTCCTGTTTTGAGGGTAAATAATTTGTCAGAATATGGCAAGCGTTTTAGGTTGGGTTCAAAAGCAAAAAAAGAAAAACTTTAGAAAATTATTGTAGCTATCCCTTTAAAGGAGCCCCCGGTGGTGCAGTGGGTTAAAGCACTGAGCTGCTGAGCTTGTTGACCTAAAGGTTTCAGGTTCGAATCCGGGGAGCGGCATGAGCTCCCTCTGTCAGGCCCAGCTTCTGCCAACCTAGCATTCGAAAACATGCAAATGTGAGTAGATCAATAGGTCTACTCTGGCGGGAAGGTAACAGCTCTCCATGCAGTCATGATGGCCACATGATCTTGGAGGTGTCTACGGACAATGCCAGCTCTTTGGCTTAGAAATGGAGATGAGCACCACCCCCCAGAGTCGGACACGACTGGACCTAATGTCAGGGGGAAAACTTTACCTTTACCTACCTCTTTAAAATGATGAAAATCATATTTCATAATTAGTGTTTTATTCCTTTTCTTCTAATACTAATTTATGAAATACAAGGCCTTCTGAAAACCACTGGTGTATGTGTTCATTGTAATATTAACATAATGCACAATTAGTTCAATTTAAAGTATCATAGTAGAATATGGCAGGAAGAAAACATTGTTATTGTATATGGTTGTACTTCAAACATGTTATTGAAATAGATTTTTGACATATTTGGGCATCCAATTCCATCTATAACTTATGACCCTATGTTGAAGTAGATATTTCACACCTTATTCTGAAATTTCATTTTCAGAATGTCATATATGAATCTTGACAATCATGGTGCAAAAATGTAGTTCCATACTACTTTTTGAAGCCTGTCAAGTTTGTATACAAAATAAATACACATGGAAAGAAATAGACATTATAAATTATTAAATCGCAGAAAAATAGTGCTGTGAAGCTGTCTTGTTACAATAAAAGTTTCTTAAATTATAAATTAAGACAACTACTTTATGTACAACCAGTAGTTTGGATAGTCCAACACAACTTTACAAGCTCTCTCATGGGAGAAATCCAATTCTTTTGCAACATGCTTCAGTTCTAAAAGTGTTTAGATATTTGTCCTGGAAGTGATGGCTGTTTAAGAAATACAAATCCAGATCTCCCTCAGGAACATGCTAGTCAAATGGCCTCAGTCCTGCATTCCCTTCCAAGAAAAGATCATTGGATTTGTAACTTTATAGTTCATCTGTAGTTTTTGCACTGGATGAGTTTCCTTTTTCTTTTAACTGGCCAAGAGTGAGACTAAATTAAGTGTGAAATGTTTTGGTCAAGATATTCCTAAAACCTGAAGGCTCCCAGCTCATGCATGTCCAGCTTTGCCTCCATGGATAATGCATGCCATGCGTGTTAATAATATTAGTGCTTTCAGGGTAAAACTGCCAATGTATCTCATCATCTGTCATCAGTTTGTGTTTCAAAATGAAATGGCTACAGATGCTAATGATACTTTGCATGACATTTATATTTGTGCCTGTGTGTGGCTTCCTTGTGTATTCTTGTGTTTTTATTTCACATAGGTAGAGCCTAAGGAGATAGTTAAGCCTGTGCCCATTGCATCCGCAGTTGTGCCCAAAGTTTCATCCGCAACCAACATGGCCTTCAATAAAGCCCCAAGGCCATTTGGGGCTGTATCATCCCCCAAGGTCACTTCCATTCCATCACCATCGTCTGCCTTCACTCCAGCCCATGCGAGTGCGTCATCACGTGCTTCTCCTCCACCACTGGCCACTGTCACGCCTCCCACATTCACTGCCTCTGGACTGCATGCTAATGCCAAATCTAATCCTGGCCAACGTTCTCCCATATTGAGTGCTGCCAAACCTGCAGTTAATATCCCATGGCAGCCCACACACAATGCGTCCTTCAGCGAAAATGCCCAGGAGGTGACAGAGGGGCAACGCAGAGGATTCAAAGAGAACCAGATTGACAATAAAGAACAAAATGGGTAGGTAGTTTCAGGACACTTTGGTTACCTCTTGAGGGTTTTGAAAGCTCTTTCTGATTCAGTTTATTGATTGGTTCTCCAAGCTTGAAGAATAATCATTTAAAAAATTTCCCAGGCTCATACTATTGTCTAAAATTGTCATTGGACTTATCTCTGTCTGTCTCTCTATCCCTGTTTTATATCTGTTTAACTGTCATGGCTTTATCTCAAATAATCTTGCAGATTGGAATTTGGCTTGAATTTTATGTTAAAGAAAAATTTATTTCCCACCCGCTTTCCTTTGGAGATGGAAAATATTGATGATTCCTCCAGACAGTCTCATGCAGGAGTAGGATGAATATCATTTCTGGACAAGTTATTTGGTTTTATATGAAACAAAAACAGTACCTGCAAAAAAGTTGCACTATGTCATACCTTCATTTAAGGAAATTTGGGCAACTGCAATTCATTCTCTTCACATTCCTACCTGGTTTTCCTGTCAATAGAAAGAAGAGATAGAGAGGGAGGGAGATACTCCAGTCCATGAATTCATGATAGTGTGCATATGCATGTAGTGTACAAAGTGCATAAGGAAGGAGATGTTGGAGTGAGGATGGTCCCACAGCAATCACCATAATCTTCCTAGAAGGTTAGAGATTCAGCCAGTCAGCTGAGGTGCATTAGGAGTACTGTGACATAATGAGAAATTAGACATTTGATTCCCTAACCATTCACTTCATATGTCCTCCACGCTCCCACCCCACTAAGTCTGTTACTACCTGACTAGGCAAGAGACAGAGTTTGGAGGGGATTATATAGTTAGTCATCATGATACTCAACATTTCCTAGTCATATAACATGATTAGTCCTCATTATGCTGCTCATTGGATTTGGTACTGAAATTTTGTTTTCTTGAGAATATTTTCCCTGCCTGCTAGCGCTGGGCTTGTCCCAAGCTTGCTTATATAGTGCGGTGCTATTTTGGATATACATATAAGCAATGGCACTCAGAATATTTTAAATATATTGATACATTGTAAAGTGCTTAGATCTGTTCTGCCACATTATCTTTATTCATTACAATAAGAACTAAATCACAAGTTAATTCATACTGTGTTTTAAACTTTAAAAAAATGGCCAGTGTATTCTGTAGATCAGTGTTTCTCAAACTGTGCTCCTCCAGGTTTTTTTGGACTTCAGCTCCCAGAAATCCCAGCCATCTTACCAGCTGTTAGGAATTGTGGGAATTGATATCTGGAGGAGCACAGTTTGAGAAACTCTGCTATAGATGTTTGAAGCCTAGCACATGCTTTGCAGCATAGTGTAAATCTCAGTTCAGTAAGTAGAGAAGCAGGTACTTAATAAAAGAAGATGCTTTGTTAGAGGTTCCTTTGGGATTGTAAAAAATCGTTCAGACAGTAACAGGACACTGAAGAGGAAATAACTTTGACTGTGCTCAGTTATATACTGAGAGTTTTAACACTTCATCCTGAAGAAGGGAGAAAGTGCAGATGTAGAGCTGCTCTGTTGGGAATATATTTGAGTTCCCCCTAGTTTATATTTCTGCTGAACTACATTTTGCACTGTTTGAGATCTAAACATTTAAAAAACTTCCCTATAGTAGGCATGATATTTTAGAATGCATTAAAAGGCTCATATTTATTTAATCAATGATTTTAATTGTAGAATGGGAATCCTCAAAAGCCTTTCCAAGAGCTTTCCTTTGCTGCCTAGTAGGAAGGTGAAAAATAAATAATTAAGGCTACACTTGATGTGACCAAAAGTCAATGCCCCAAAATTTCATTTAATACAAACCTTGTGGAACTAAGTTCAGTACCCTTAAAAAACTGTTACACACATTTTTTAAAAAAGTTACTTTAATGAGTTAGGAAGCAGCTGAGAGTAAGAAGAAGTATCTATCTGTCTAAGAATGTATTTCATAATAGGGATAGTATGAATCTAGAAACCAATGTGCATTTTTATTTAGATAGCTGGCATACAAGTTCAATTCTGTTGCGGCAAAAAGCCTTAATTATCTTCTGCTTCTTCATTTACTTCAGCTAAATTCTTATAATATAACCCTTATGAGTTTTGCATAAAGGTTACATTATAATACAGTAATTGTTACCACTTTAATGAACAATTTGTGATATGGCTCCCCATAATTTAAAAATGGAAGAAAAGTGATTCTGACAACTTGCACCAAATAGAAGGACTTTTGAATATATCCAGGCCTATGTTTTGTGTTGTTCCACGAGGACTCGTGTTGAGCTGTAGTAATTCAAATTTATAACACCTGACTGCCAAACCAAAAGTAACCAACTTTAGGTTTGTGATCTAGTTACCAGACCTAAAATGTAGTAAACAACACAGATTTCGTTGCTTAGATTTCATATGTTAGCTTTCCACTGTTGACATTACAATGGTACTCCAGATGTTGTTGCACTTCAGTTCACAGCTTTCGTCCACATTGGCAATGCTTGTTAGGGCCTTACAGTATAAACAAGATTTGAAAGACCACATGGTTTCTTCCCCTGTACTTGAGTAACTAACATAATGGTAGTAGAAAATTATTGATTTGCCTTGGTTTTTATCCCACCTTTTCCCCAAATGCGCTGAAAGCAGCTTACAATATATACTAAGACAAATCATTAATGGCATGGAGTATAGAAAGCTTTAAAAAAACAACAAACTATCAATCAAATCATTAACATGTTTTTTCCAAGATTAACTTGAACATGGTTGGAAACACATGTTAGAGAAGACTTCTGTAATTAGTCTATTCAGGAATTCTCTTCCAAAATGATACTAGCTTCCAGCTTTTATATATAATATGATTAACTTCAATGTATGAAACCAGGATAAATCAACTAATTATATTTATATTTGTCTCCTCTCATATTATATTTATATTTTTATCCTCTAATGAGTGTGGGACTTTCCTTTCCACCACGACCACGAGTATGCCTCACACCAGAAATGCCACTGCACTTTGGATATTGCACTCCGTTAATAATTTTCAAGTATTCAGAATCCCTCTGCCTGTATTCTGTTTGCAAATATTCAGTGATGTTATCTGCTAAAGTGAAAAAGCTGTAGACTTGTTGGCTTAGCTGTACTGAAAATATTATGGTTTCAAATGATGCTCGAGCAATTATAAGTGTGAGAAGAATTTGCTTACACATGGAAGATCTAGTGCTGATTAAACAGCAAGACATTGCACTGCCCTTTATACAAATATATTTAGACCTAAGTAATACAATCTGTTTACTAAAAATCTTCATAGTCAGTAGCATATCATGTCTACATATGCAGTGTACATTAAGATTAAGCACAAGCAATTAGTCTGTCTTGTTTTTATGTCTTGGAGGCATAGTATGAGCAAAATTGCTTACTGAAAGCTTCAAACTAATTAAATGAAATGAACTGATAATTTGTCAGCATAAAAAATTTGATGGAGCATATATATTTAACATAGTATTGAAGCATCCCTCATGCTAACTTAAAATATATAAAAATTGTAACATGAAGTATATTTATATGAGACACTGAATATTAGGTATTAACCCATAACTTACAGATATTTTGGGCTCCCTCCTTTGTTTTTTGCACCTACCTTCAGGAAAGGGGGGCATCTTCACCTCTGTCTCTCTCTCTCTTGGTCCCAATGGCTGAGGAGAAAGTCAGGAGAAGAGGTGACTTTTGGTGCACACGCCGGGGTCTTCAGGCACGTCTCCGGACCCAAAGCGGGCCAGGCAAGGGAGCAAATGCGGCAAGTGTAGTTACTGGGATGTATAGTTCACCTACAATCAAAGAGCATTCTGAACTCCACCAATGATGGAATTGAACCAAATATGGCACACAGAACTCCCACGACGAACAGAAAATATATTTCAATGATTGGTTGGGGGGGGGGGCACTAAAATACTGTTTGCTTACTGTTGAAAATTACCTAGGGCCGCCTCTGTTGAGAGGGGTGGTATAGAAATGTACTAAATAAATAAATAAATAAATAATTTTTCAGTTCATCATTTTCTAGTCAATATGTGAAGCACAAATTAAGACTTCTCCATTTGCAAGAAGTCTACCTTACATTAAGGAAACACAACATAGTTTTGTCAGTTTCCCCCATTTCCATAAAATTGCATATACATACAGATAAAGAGTCAAAAATTATATCCAAATCTGTAGTGTGAGCTAAGTGACATTTATTTATTTATGTATTTATTTCAAACATTTGTACCCTACCCTTCTCAGCCCCCCCCCCCATGGAGGGGGCATTTGGTTTGTTGTTCTTTTTATATAGCATGCCTTGTCAAGTCCTGCATGAAAACTGTTCTTTTGCACAATACTGTTCACTTCACTCCTCACTGGTTACAATATTTTCAAGGGTGCTGGAATATTCAAGGTATAATTGTGTGAAGGTATTTAGATGACCCTACATATGACCAGTAGGGAAGTCATTTTGGTAAACATTTTAAATGCTTCCTTCCTTTGCAGGCACCATCAGCAACAAAGTTAGTATCACTGGTATTTGAGTTGTATTGTGTGGTTTTAAATAACTGGCATGTATGACTACTATATGTCTGTGTCAGAATTAAACTTTTTCAGATTTGCTGTGACTTTTATAAAACAAAAATCTACCTGGTTGTGGTGTGAGGTTGCTCTTTTGTGTAATATTAAATTGTATGCTACTTATACATGTGATTTTTGTGAGTAGCAACCAAAAAGATAAACCGTGTTGGCCAGTTTTATTAATGTCTAACAGTTATAACTTAGACTTTCAAAGTGGTTGTAATTCAGACCTCTGAATGTTCCTAATATGCCAATATTTAAAATATCCTGCAATTAAATTTAAGATAACCATGTATTAATTTAGCACCTGGTTTAATGCAAGTCACTTCTCCTTACAGCATGTGCAAATTAAAATCATTAATATATAAAGACTGACTGCTGGAGGAAAATATTGTGTTATAGCTTTATCTTTGTATATGGCACCATCTTGCTACCAGTCTTGGTAACTGCTAGAAAGCGCCAAGAAAAATATAATAGACTTCCCAAAGATTGGTTAGCTCTTAACTAATGCTTTTGTAAATTATTAAGTAACATTGCTATTAAATTTTACTTATATAGAGTTACTCGCCTTCTTCTGTGGCTTTAATTTCATAATTTTCTATTAACTTTTTCTTGCTTCATTTTTTTGTGGTTTCTTACTTGTACTCCATGACCTGGAATCTTCTCCGTTGTTTGTGTTTTGTTCTATCCTTCCCTTCTTCAGTAACCCTGATGAGGTGTAAGTACTTCACTAATATAATTTGCCTCTTAATATTTAAGCACCTCTTTTCTCATAACAAAACATAAAATAATGGTGCATTTAGTAGCTTTTCTTCATCAGTTAAATTTGGGATTCAAATCTCAGTGCCTTCTGTTGCTGGTTCAACTAATTTTTTGAGCATGAAGTTACAGATGCTTCCAGTTACAAAGTAGTATCACTGAAAGTATGTTTGAAATGATTAACTTTAGAACTGTTTTATAGAAGACTTTGTGTCTTCTTCATATTTAGTCTGAATTAGTTGCTCAAAGAGGTCTAAGGGATAGAAATTTTAGTGAAGGAGATTGCAACTAGAAGTCATAATCACGAAAACTGCTACACAAGAAAATATAGGAGATGGTTACTAGAGATACTTAAATAGAAGCTAGAAGGTTCACCAGATCCCATGTGATCTTAGAAGCCAGTCCTGATTAGCACTTAGATGGAAGTCCATCAACAAATACTTCTGAGTAATCCCCACTTAAGAAATTCATGCTGTTCTATCATTCAACAGGTGACTTGAAGACACATAAAGAGAGAAGGTTCAGTATCCAGGATGCTGCAGCTGCAGCGTACACTGCAGATAAATTGGATTAAATAACCTCCTTTTCGGCTCTAAACTCTGTTATGGATATCTCACATGTGATATCTTAGAACCGAGTGTTGTAATTGACTGTTTTCTGATAAAGGCAACTGGCAAAAGGACTTCTCAATCTGTAGCCTTACATTACCTAAACAAAAAAGGGGGAAGATCTCTCTGAAGGTCCAGTGTTTCAAAAAGGATAGCTTATCTTCAGGGATATTGATGCAACATGTAAGGTTGCTTCAGTTAACTTGATAAAGCTTTCCCAGTGAGAGCATCCTGGGGCTATGTGGCCACAAGTGCCTGTACACAAATACTTTAGTTAGAAAAAAGTTGTTCTTGCAATTAGTTTTTGGACAGTAATCAATAGTACTCGCCTATCACCAAACGGTGCATTTTTTGTGGATAATATTGTTACTTTTTCATGTAGAGAAATAAAAACCTTGCTTTAAAAACTGATAGCATACAAAGAAAAATGACTCTGAAAACAATTTAATTTTAAAACTTAAAAATAACCATGATTCTTCTTCTTTCCTTTCTTTTCCTATCTTTCCTTTCCTGGTTATACTGGACTCTTTTTATTCTGCTGTCTTGTTCTTTCAAATACATAAAAGGAAAAATCCACCCAAACGGTAATTGTTAGTGTATATGTCTGTGTGTCAACGGAGTGTAATGTTTTAAGATGGAACTGTCATAGAGAGAGGATGTGTGTGAACTGTTGAGGTATATGTAATTTTCAGCTAATTGAAGCTGTTCTGGATTCTATGAGAAGGATGGGCCATGGGATGTTAGCACTCTGAACTGTAAAATTTCCAGAAATCTTGAAGCTATGAGGAGAGGGACATTTTCCTTGTTTTACCAGGACCCTCCCAAAAAGAAAACATGGAAAATTGAAAAAAAAGTAACATTCTTATTCTTTATGAATGTAATATTTGGAGTGTAAAACAGATGTTTTATTCAGAAAATTATTAGAAATGAAATTTAGTGTTTGAATTGTTAAATTTTCCATTATAAATGGAGCCAAAGGGTTAAGGTAAACTTGAAATGTAAGGAATATCTTAGGTTTTGCCAATTTATGAAGTGCAAGAGCTTTAAAAAAACTGAAGAAAGTGTCAAAATTGGCAAAGAAAATTATTTTGGCTCTTCTAGTTTTCCATAGTGTCAATTAGTCATAAATCACTCGTCCCTCCATTGAATAAATCTTGCCAAGAAGCCCCCAGGATAGATTCACCTTAAGGTTGACATAAGTCAGAAACAACTTGAAGGCACACAGTAACAAACAGAAGAACAGAAAAAAAATTACGTTGTTGCTCCATTTGCTTTTCTCTTACTGGCTTTATATCTTTTCTTCATTGTTTTAGTCCACCACGGAAGCATGTTGTATATACGAATACGGAGTTTTTCCATCCACCAACTCACAGCAACCACAGCAAGAAGCGGCTGATTGAGGATACTGAGGACTGGCACCCAAGAACAGGAACAACGCAGTCACGTTCCTTCCGCATCCTTGCACAAATCACTGGGACTGAACACAGTGAGTAACCACTTGGATTTGTAATTAAAAATGGACGCATATAAAAGTGTGTGTGTGTGTGTGGGTGTGTGTGTGAGGGAGGGAGAGAGAGAGAGAGAGAGAGAGAGAGAGCAGGAAAGAGGGAGAAAGAAAGGGAGGGAGAGGTAGCCCCCTTTATGCATAAAATACTAGCCTACACAGATGTGTCTTGGGAGTGGAGTTACATAGAAATATTATAAGAAATATAGCAGGCATAAAAATACTAACCTACACATATGTGTCTTGGGAGTGGGTTACATAGAAATATTATAAGAAATACAGCAGGCATATTTCCAACTGGAATAGACCAGTAGAAATGAATGATGCTGTTTCTGTGTTTGATTATTTTTACTCTACACTTCCACCTAAAATGCTTTGAGTGGCTTACAAATTGATATTTTGACTGTTCCCTGCCCTCAGACTTAGAACACAAAATACAAAGAAAATGGGATTGGCAGTGAGAAAGAGAATGAAGTTCAGCAGATGTTGCATGATGTTAATGACAAGTAACCTAAGTTTCATTCATTCCAATGTTTAGTCTATTAGGGAGTAACATTAAATTTATATAATTTTTCTACAAATGTTATTGAAATTGTAATTTTGATATTGATAAAGTATTCGCAGGACAGAATATATAATTTTGATCCTGATATTTTATACATTCCTCCCTTTTTCTCCAACCTTGACAGCACATCTTAAATCCAGTTGTTAGTCTCAACTCTAGTAGACTACACTTGATCCAATGGAATTTACATCAGTGCCAACTTACCAAGTTCCAGAGTTCTTCAATGGGACTAAGAATTTTATCTAGTTATTTTCTCACTAGGGCAATATAGGAAGGGGTTTCTTGTCTGTTAGTACTCTTCCCATTTATTATTAATATAATCTAAAAAACCATATATGACCTATTCATGTGATCATTATGTGAATGATAGTGAAGCTTATAATTGTTGTGCATCTCAGAAGCTTCAAAAGATAATGGGAGAAATATCTAAGAAAAAGATCATTATGCTGTCATCATTTACTGGAGGAATATTGAAAAATCATGTGACGATTTCATGGAAATTTAGCGAGTGTTTTCTTTATTTGCAGTGAAAGAACCAGAACCTGATCATTCAAAAAAATCAAAGTAAGTTAATGATCTCCAATATGTCTTGCTGTGTTGCATGATTTATTTTTAACTGATGGTGGGGATATCAGTGTGTGTGTGTTTGAGTTTGAAAAATGCACTGCATATCAAGCAAATCGAAACAAATGTAGTTGCATGTTGTATACAACAGACCTTAGAATTATCCTGTTTATGTTTTTAAAAAACTGGCTCAAATTGAGGATACTTCAGTATACATGTGGAGAAGATTAGGGGACAAGCATGATAGCAGGAAATCAGCGCTCTGTGGAGATAAAAAGTGTTTCCTGCAAAATATTGGAATCCTTAACCAGATACTTAAAGGACATTGCTTGTTGATTTTTTAAACTGTCTTCACAACTCTTTGTCATTTTCTTTTACTTTTAAGATGTAGCCAGTTTCTCAAGATGATGTACTAATTTTGGCCAAAACTTTTGGCCAATAAATATGAATTGGTTAAGCATGAATTATAATACTGTTGAATGCTTGCTGTGAACAGTCAGAGTAGCAATGATATAGACTACTCCAGTTCTCTAGGTTTCTTGGGCGCATGCACTTGTTTCGGTCTGTCTGAACCTTCTTTGTGCTCTTTAGTTTTCCTGTCCTGGATATGGTCTCCTCCATAGGCATTATCCCTGGCACCTTTTAAGGAAAACAGTGGGCCTCTGGTATCTACTGTGATTGGTTCTAGCAGATATCCCATAGATACCAAAAGGCGTAGATGAAATGGTGAAATGGTTACATAAATGAGTAAAATCAAGGTTTGCTTTTGGCATTTCTTTTTTTTTTTTGGGGGGGGGGAGGCATCTTTTAGTTCTGGATGGTTGAATCCATGGATACAGACTGTGGATATGGAGCACCTACTCCTAGATAGCTAAATGATGGTACAAAATTCAATTTACCCTTTGTTAAGTTACCAAAGAGAAGTATTCTAAATCATGAAAAGCCTTATTGTTTCAGTACTGGTATTCTCATTAAAAATACAGAGGGTGGAATTTGGCTATCATATCATGTTCTCTAAATCTCTGTTTAATGGAGCAATTCTGAATTGGTTGTAGTGACTCTCTTCATTACTTGAGTATAACAGAGTAGCGACATTTTGCATTACACTGTAGAGTTTAGGCATTGATATTTTAGTAGGAGCGGCCCATACACATATACCAGGGCTAGAAATACTTTTTAAAAGTTATTTGAAGAAGTTTTATCACAATACAAGTATTGAATTGTCAATAGTGCATGGATTCTGCATGTTTTGATTTGCATGTAAAGTGGGTTTAGATGCGGACCTCTTTCCTTTCATCTGTCTCTTCTTCACTTCTTTCTGCAGGGAAAAGGTCCCCCTCCACGTCATAGGTCCCAGATATACAAAATTACGTGACTGGCACCATGGCGTCTCAGCACGTGTCCTTAACGTCCAGTGACTTGACGAGTTCTAAAATAAACAAATAAAGCAAAACACATGAGCTTTTCTTCCTCTTCCTCTTTTTCTTGCAAGGGATTGAATGAGAAGCAAAATAAGAATCAATTGCTAGAAGAATTACAGCCTTTTCTATACTTTTTTTCTAACAATTTCCTACTGATGTGGAAAGAATGAGAGAAACATGTTTTGTTTTAAAATTAGTGTCTGAATAGCAAATCAACATACACAAAACATAGAATATTCATAATGGTGATGAATAGTTAGAGTATCTCTTCTGGGAAAAAGGCAGGTTCTTAGCTGCAGGATATGAACTCTAGCCCACTGCATAAAATATAAAGGGGGAAATAGGCTGTAGAAACCTGAGAAAGGCATCTTGCTCTTCCTATATAGCTTTGTTTGACATAAAATCAGTATCTCATTGTTTCAGTACTTTGCTTTTCCTATATAGCACTGTTTGATGTATTTCAGAGCAGGATGTAAATGTTTCCCCATTGGCGAAGGAGAAGTAGATCTTTTTACCTTCTAATTAAAGGGATTGAGCAGTATTAGCATAGGTCAGATAAGCTGTGTACTTGGGCGGAAATGTCACATGAGGATGTTTCGAAGTTCTCCCTGACCATAATCCCAATAGTGTTATCCTAGGAACATATTTAAAAGTGAAAATAATATAAGCTATTGGATATATTTTATTTATAACAAGCTGCATTTTTGTGACTTTATTAGCCATTTTGATGCATAATGTTTTGTAATATAATGTATTATAGCAAATAATAATTTCTGCCATTGTTATGCTTGAGGATTACTTAATAAATGTTGTCTTTGAGTTCATCCTCCTCCCCCTTGCATTTTTCTTTGAAGTCTTTTGCATTCTGTTAATATTTGTTCCACACATATTTGGAGCTGGCGATATTACTGGCAAAATCATACCTGTAATCCTCTTGTAATAAAAGAATCTTGCTTGGGTGAATTTCATAGAAGCATGGCCATTCATCCCTTATTTGTTTTTGTTTTTTTAATATTCAAATTGAATCCTCTTTGCAAACAGATTGTTTAAACAAAAATAACTTTTTATATACATACAGATATTGACTTATATACATATAGATATTGACTTGAACTGCCCAACTTTGAAAGCTCTTCTTTGGTAATATTTATTTCATGGAAATACAAGTCTTTCTCTAGCCATATTTAAGGTTTGTTATCTGTTGCATTATCTCTAGGGATAGTCAAACAGAAAATGGAGATTGGAGGTAACCTTTCACATGTTTGACATTTAACACCCACGTGTGCAGAAAAAAATTTGAAACACTATGGCACATTATAAAACTACTAAGGAGTGCTCATGGTTTCTGGCTACATGATAGACCTAAAAACACTGGCATAGTGCATTCTTCTTAATATTTGTATCTTGGTTATCTGTCATCAGATTCTGTTAAAACAGATTCACACAATCATAAGTTCTTCCTTTGTGGGATAAAGTAAGCAGATTTCAAAGAAGTCCATCTTAGAGTTGTTTGAATAACTTTTATTTAATGGAAATAATTACTTGAATTATCACATGTTTGTATATTGAATAATACACTGCATCTGTGTTTAATGTGTGTACACAAGTAGAAGTAGCCTACAATAAACATCCTGAATGTTCAGAAATGCTATTGTGCTGGGTATTTCAGTTAAGAGTAGTGATTCAACTATCAAAGGTCTTTCGCGATGAGAAAGCTGTTGTGGCCTTTGGTCAGTCCTTGTAGTTGCTTGATTATTTAATGTGAAATGTATCTTTCCAATTTATTACAGCTTATATGTGTGCATCTATGTGATTTTATACCCCCTTTGGTTTTATATTTTGTATAATACTTTAACATGCAATAATCCAATTGTAGATTCACTTGTTTACTAGTTACCCCTATAATACATCAATTCATCATCAAATAATGCTGCTCAATAATAGTGCTAAAGGAATTTAGTTGTCGATCAGAAGATTCCTGGTTTAAATGTCATCTTTGCTGTTAATTCACTGGGTGACCTTGGGTGATGTCTCCTCCAATCCTATCTAGTCTCCTGGGAATGTAAGCATTAATCTCAACTCATATGATTGCTATTAGGATTAATGCATGTGAAGTATAAAGTGAAATTTTGAAAGCAGCACTTATGCTGTACAGCAAGGGTCTTCAAACTAAGACCCGAGGGCCAGATATTGCCCTCCAAGGTCATTTACCCAGCCCGCACTCAGGATCAACCTAAGTCTGAAATGACTTGAAAGCACAGAACAACAACAACAACAATCCTATTTCATCAGCCAAAAGCAGGTCCACGCTTCCCATTGAAATACTAATAAGTTTATATTTGTTAAAATTGTTCTTCATTGTAATTACTGTATTGTTTTTAAGTGTTTTTTGCACTACAAATAAGATATGTGCAGTATGCATAAGAATTCATTCATGCTTTTTTCAAATTATAACCCCCCCCCCCCCAATAGTTTGAGAGACTGTGACCTGGCCCTCTGTTTAAAAAGTTTGAGTACCCCTGCTGTACAGCCTTCATATCTGGAGGGGATACATTCCTGAACTTACTGTGGAAAAAAGAAAACCATGGATAACCCTATTAAATTGAACGACTTCCAAAATACATTATCATAGACTCACTCTACAAGATCTATAAAGCTCCTAGAGGGATATTCTCTAGGAATTTGCTATGTTTTCCAGAGAGACTCTGTGGTAACCTCTGATGGATGCCTACAATTCGTTTAGATGACCTGTTTTGTCAGGTGTGGGTCGGTAAAAATGCAGGATACCAATACTGCAGGGACAAGGGTTATATTGTATATTTTTTGGATTAATCTGAGTGTTTATGGCATTTGGCATTTCAGAGAAATGGAAATGAATGGAAAAATATTACTGTCTTGGACCCCTTGGATTGTATGCTACAGATTTCTCTGAAGTCATCATGCCTCCTTTCTTTAGGCCATCCAGAACACATAATGTATTCCTTCCTGCAACTCCCAGTCTCCTTGCAACTTTTTCTTTTCTTTTCTTTTTCCTTACTTACAGAACTTTTTGCAGTCCCATTCCTCTGTTCTTTTCTTCTGTTTGCAACATCAAAATTCTAATGCGTTGTTGTCAGTTCTTAGTGTATGTGTATATCCATGGCATTTAACCATGTGTAATGAATCCAATATTCCCCCAAACATCATGCCAGAATTTGACAGTTTCAAAGAGATGAAAAGTGCTCTGGTTTCTTCCAAAATCGTACGTTTTTATCATTAAGTTTGCATAGTCCATGAAAAACTTTTTCCTGGCAAGATCATCTTACCTGAATTTCTTTTCCTTTCTTTTGGAAAACTTGGAAGCTCTAAATAGCTATCAGATTTTATTTTACTGTCAGCCTAGTCTTTTGTCCTACAAATATTTGTCTGATGCAGGCTCACTGTCCCTGCACATAAATGATGACATATTGATTGATCCCCTTTTATAATTGCAAACATGGTATTTTTCTATTACTGTACTGTTTTTCCTTTCTGTTCTTCCAATACCATGAACCTATGGATATGCTATCATTCAGCCATTCTCCTATTTCACCACAGAACTGCTTATTTCTTTCATTGTTTCCCCTTTTATTCAGTCTATGATTCAGTTACTTCATCACTGAAGTACTTTATACTTTATCACTGCTTACTGAGTTTAGTGATAACAACATGCAAGACTTTCAGTGTTACAGCAAGTCAAATGCAGATGGGTCTGCAGTTTAATCAGCTAGTGGCACTAGATTTAAAAAGCTGGCACCAACTCCAGAAGGCATCTGGGAGGGGAAAGAGCAGTGCAGATATAGAGAAGCAGATATTCTTTTATCTCCAGCTTAGAAGGTCTTGGTTCTGTCCAAAGAGATATGGAAAAGAGCCACAAACTGTTGGGTGGATGAATTCTCTGAAGAGTCCTTAGATATACAACAGAAAGGTCATCACTGACTAGTGGGCTATTCACTTTTTATTTGCTACTCATATCTGGCCTTCCCTACACACAGAGCATAAAGTGATGTATTGCTGTATTGTCGAAGGCTTTCGTGGCCGGAATCACTAGGTTGTTGTAGGTTTTTTCAGGCTATATGGCCATGGTCTAGAGGCATTCTCTCCTGACGTTTCGCCTGCATCTATGGCAAGCATCCTCAGAAGTAGTGAGGTCTGTTGGAACTAGGCAAAAGGGTGTATTGCTCTTCTTCTCTCCACTTTACCATCACAACAGTTGTGCTGTGCTGGGGAAAAGTGGGTGGCCCAAGTTCACCATAAAGAATTTCATGGTGAGTGGAGACATAAACCTGGATTTTTCAGTCCCCAGTCCATAACTCTAAACATGAGCCTCTATTTTATGAAAATCTGATACACATGGTATTTTTGCAGTCCATAAATAAAAAAAATCTAAGGTAGAGAAGAATGAAGATTGAGTATCCCTTACCTGAAATGCTTGGGACCAGAAATGCTTTAGATTTCATAATTTTTTTTTCAGAAGGGGGGATATTTGGAGTACCTATATCCCCCCCCCCCCCACACACACACACAAATATTGAGATAGCTGGAATGGGACCCAAATCTAAACACAAAATTCATGTATATCTCATATATATCTTATACACCTTGATTTAAGGATATTTTATACAATATTTTAAATATTTTTGTGCATAAAACAAAACCAATCAGAAAACGAATGTGCCAATATGTCAGCCATTCACATAGGCAATTTTGGATAAGAGATCCTCAGCCTCTACATACAAGGTTTATGTAGATTTCAGACTTATGTGTCAGGCGATTATTATTATTATTATTATTATTATTATTATTATCCTATTTTATCTCCCCTGAAGGGGACTCAAAGCAGCTTGATATAAAAGCATCAGCACAACCATTTAAAATATACACATATACAAATATTAAAATATGATTAAATATAAACAGTATTTTAAAATTCCCAGTTAAAAATAATTAAAACAAATTCAAAGTTAAAAACCAAAGCACCCACTGAATTTATCGTAATAACCTTCATCTTTAAAAGCCTGTCTAAATAAAAAGGTTTTAGCCTGCCACCAGAAAGATAGCAAGGAGGGGGCCATTCTGGCTTCTCTAGGCAAGGAGTTTCAGAGTCAAGGGGCAGCCAGTGAGAAAGCCTGCTCACCAATAATGCTTGAGATGGAGGTGGGACCGAAAAAAGACCCGTTCAGATTTGTATAAGGGGATGCAGTGAGCCAAATAGCCAGGCCCTGAACCATCTAGGGCTTTAAAGCACAGAACCAGCACTTTGAATTGTGTCCAGAAATAGACTGGCAGCCAGTGGAGCTGCTGCAACAGGGGGGTTGTTTGCTCCCTGTAGCCAGCCCCAGTTAGCAACCTGGCTGCAGCTCTTTGGATCAGCTAAAGTTTCTGAGAACTCTTCAGAGGCAGTCCCACATAGAGCATGTTACAGTAATCCAGATGGGATATAATAATAATAATAATAATAATAATAATAATAATAATAATAATAATAATTTTTGCCCCAGGCGCAGTCAGACCATTGTACGCTAATCAGGGTGGTCAGTTGAAACATTCACACCTAGCTCCAGCAGAGAAGAGCCCTTTGTCTCACCCTGGTCATTCCACAGATATATAAACCCTTTTGCCTAGTTCCAACAGACCTCACTACCTCTGAGGATGCTTGCCAAAGTGCAGGCGAAACGTCAGGAGAGAATGCCTCTAGACCATGGCCATACAGCCCGAAAAAACCTACAACAAACCAATAATAACTTTATTTTTATACCCTGCCTCCATCTCCCTAAAGGGACTTGGGGCGACTTACATGGGGCCAAGTCCAATCAACATATTTAAAATAAATAATACCAGTATAAAACAACATTAAACAACATTATAACAGTATATAAAACAAGCATCAGAAACAATAACCAATAGTATAATTCAAGTCTTGTTGAATTGTTGGGGTTTGGGATGTAACTAAGGCATGTACCACTGTAGCCGGATCCGGCTTCTCAAGGAATGGCACAGTTGACATATAAGTTTTAATCATGTAAAGGCCCTCCTGGCCACTGTTGATAGCTGTGCCTCCAGATTCAGTTCCAAGTCCAGAAGGACCCTCAAATTGAAAACTTGTGTCTTCAGAGGGAGTGTAATCTCATCCAGCACAGGCTGAATCCCTATTCCCTGGTTTGCCTTCCGACTGACCATGAGTACCTCTGTCTTGTATGAATTAAGTTTCAATTTGTTTGTCCTCATCCATTCTATCGCTGATGACAGGCACTGGTTTAGGATCAGGATGCTTCCTTGGTGTTAAGTGGAAAGAAGTAGTAGAGTTGGGTGCCATCTGCATATAGGTGGCACCATACTCCAAAACTCCAGATGACCTCTCCAAGTGGTTTCATGTATATGTTAAACAGCATGGGAGACAAAATGGAACTCTGGGGAACCCCACAGATCAATGATTGGGGGTTTGAATAGGAATCCTTCAGCACCATCTTCTGGGTATGGCTCTCCAGGAAGGATCGGAGCCATTGCAAGACAGTGCTTTCCGGTCTCATCCCGGTGAGATGACCCAGAAGGATACCATGGCCAATGGTATCGAAAGCCACTGATAGACCCAGGAGAACCAACAGAGACACACTCCCCCTGTCTAGATCTCTGTGTAGGTCATCCACCAAGGAGGCCGAAGCTGACTCTGTTCCATAACCAGGCCGGAAACCCGATTAAAATGGATCTAGATAATACATTTCATCCAGAAATCCCTGAAGTTGGGAGACCACCACACACTCCAGAACCTTGCTCAGAAATGGAAGGTTGGACACTGGCCGATAGCTGTCCATTATAAAGGGGTTAGGAATGACTTTTAAAATAAGAGTTTCACAGCTGCCTCTTTTAGGCAAGTTGGAACTTTGCCTTGTTCCAAGGAGGCATTGACCACCATCTTCACCCACTCTGCCAGTCCCCCTCTGGCCTGTTTGATCAACCAGGAAGGGCATGGATCTAGAATACATGTAGTAGCTCTCACCTCTCCAAGGATCCTGTCCACAACCTTAGATTGCACTAGTTGAAAAGTATCTATCAACATTGGACAAGCAGGAGTCAAAGTTACATCCACTGGAAGATTACATCCGTCAATAACGGCATCCAAGTCCCGACAGATCTGAGTAACTTTATCTGCAAAGTGCCTTACAAATTCTTCACAGCGGGCTGCTGAGTGGACAGGGATTTCTCCTTGAGGACCAGTATGTAATAGCCCTCTGACCACTTGAAACAGCTCAGCTGGACAGTTCCTTGCAGATCTAATGGTGGCAGCAAGGAATGATTTTTCTGCTGCCACTGTTGCTGCAGAGTAGGCTTTCAAATATGCTCTAGCCCGCCCAGGCTTGGTCAGATTCGCTTTGAGTTTTCCACTAGCATTTCTCTAGTCTCCGTACCTCCTTTGCAACTACTTTGAAAACCAAGGGACTGGTTTGGCTCTGCTCCATGAGAGGGGACATTCAGGAGCAATTGTGTCCACTTCCCATTTCCCTATTCCAGAGCTCAGCCAGAGCTTTGACAGAATTGCCTGAGAGACATTCACCCCATTCTCATCCAGCCAGGTCTCTGTGATACAGATCAGATCAGGATTAAGTCCTGGATGGCAGTTGTTTTTCCATTACTGACCTGGCATTAAACTGCAGCATTTTCAACCTGGGGGGGGGGGGTGTCAGGCCAGTTATCCAGGCTATTAGGTATAGGAGACAGTTTGGGGGCAATAAGCACTTTATTTCATTCCCCATTTTTTTGTTACAGAACCTGCCTCTTCCTTCCGCATCTCCTCCTGCCCTTTATGACTCCAGTGGCTTCCCCTGATTCCCAGGGCTCCCTCCCTCCTTAGACAACCACATCCTTCTTGTATGGGGCAGGCTAAAAGATGGCAAATAAAAACCTTATATAAAATCAGGCAGATGTTGAAAGCAAGGTAATAGGCTTCAGGGCTGCCAATCATAGGGACAGGCCCTTGCCCATGTATCACCCCAAAGTAGCTCCCCCCAACCCTAACCTCGTCCCCACAGGCATCTTTTATCCCCCAGCCTCTGGAGGCAGCAGGTGTTTCTGTTGGACCTTGCTTCAGTCAAGCAATCAGGGCCTGAGTTTCCAAGGAGCCAGTCACCAGGAACTGAGGTCAAAGGCAGCCTGCAGTAGATAAATGCTGCCTCTTCTCTTCCTCCAAGCTTCCTGCTGCTGATGTTCCTTGGCTCTCTTGGATGGTGCTGTGTCCATCCAAGACTAGAAAGCATATCACACTTCAAAGTACATCTATTTGAAACTGTAGGAACAGGCTACAATGAACCGTAGTTTTATTGGGTCACAACAATAATGTAAAATCCCCTAGTTAATAATAGTTTTCATGTGAGAAAACGTGTGAATAGGGCAATTTGTAAAATATATTGCAAGAAGGTTTCTAGACCACAGGAGAAAGTTTCAAATTAGATATTGAAGGCTTCATGGTCTCAGAGGGACAGAAAACACTATAAATTGGGTAGTGGAGTTGAACATACAAATAAAATGATCTGAAAATGTTTAGCAAAGTGCAGATACATTATTTCTTTATGGCAGTTTGGCCATCATTGCAGATCTGTCAAATTAAAAAATGCTAATAGAAATTAATAGGCATTTGTGTCTTGCATGTCCCTCACTCATTGCATATTCCTTGCACAGCATATATCTTTCCGCCTGGAGCTAAAGCCTTTTATTAAAAACAATCCTTCTCCTGGCTGTTATACAAATGTTCTTTCAGGCTGTCATTTACTAGCAGCTTCAAGTTAGCAACTTTCTATGTCATAAAAAATTAATCTGAAGTAATCTCTAGGCCAAAAACAAGTCGCTAGTAACACAAACCATATGTGCTCTGTATTATCATTTGTATTATAAAGCTTCTCTACAGATTTAATGAATGGATTGGAGACACAGTGCCCAAGTTCAGTAGCTACTCAGACCTGTGAGATATTTGATGTGTCAGAACAACCAGTGTTACTTTCAACAGCTGAAAGGTCTGCTTTTCTCTTTCTTCTTGTTCCATTGGTTCTTGGGTCACTTGCATGACGTAACTTTATTGTGGCAACTTTTCTTTTCCCACCTTTTTACTTTTTTGTCTTTCATTATACACAAGATTGTTTTTATGAAGTTAGTGGCAAGTGGTTCACATTTGAAACATTGCAACATCACCACTGTCATCACTTTTATCTCCTAACTACACTACCTATCGCATGACTATGGACTTGCTTAATGGGTGGGTAAATTAAAACTTTGATAAAATAGGTATACAGTGGAAAACCTTTTTCAGTATTGCAGGTTTCATAAATGTATTTTGGAAGTGTCGACTTTGAAAAACACAATAAAATATGTCACACGTAGTTTTTCACAAATTTGATCTCATTCAGCTATTAACTCTACTTTGATTCAATGTGGATTCTGATAGTCCAGTGTGATTTCTTTTGAATGGATTTTTGTGTTTCACTTCAGAGAATTTAAGTATTTTGAAAGTCTATTAGAAGACTTTAACATCTTTCATTACTTACTGTTTCCTCTTTTTCTCCCCAAAGATACATTATTAACTCACGTGGTACAAATCAAAATGTCAAAAAAGTGAAAAATGTGTATGTCATGAAGAAAATCTGAGGTTATTTTTGGTTTTAGAATGCCATATTCCTATAAAACCAGGGTCTGCAATATTTCTTAGTACAAGTGTAAGAGGTAAAATCAGATTAACATTTGAATTTCTTCTTATTCTCTAACTTTGAAAATCCAATTGAAACAAACAACTATCAGGGAAGAAGCAAATTCAGCTAGCCCCATCTTGCTAAGTGACCCAGCTCCTACGGCTGTTTCTTTTACCAAGCTTTCTGGAACTGCTCTCTCCATTTCCTCTTCCAAGAGGTAAATAATTCTTTATAATCATTATAAAATCTTTTAGAAACATTCTGTATTTCTTTTACTTTGTAGACATTGAGTTAGTCAAGTTTAGTGTGCATCTTGCATGATGGTAAGACACCCCCCCTCCCCTTGAGGGAATATTATACTTTGCACTATCAATAGCGATGCATTTTGATCTTGAACCTAAACTCATAATGAGCTAAAAGCCTTCGACAGCTAAAAGAATAGTTGAGAAAAACAGAACCTTTTCTTACCAGTTCTCTACAATACATTTTAGGATTTTGTTTCTGCCTTACTACATGCTGTACTATAACTGAAAGTGTAATAATTTTGGAATAGCTCATATCCTCCATAGCCAAATTCAGTGCTAGCTACGTGACATGGGTACTGTAATTACAGTACCCATGTCACATAGTTAGCACTGAATTTGGCTGTGGAGGATATGAGGAAGTTTCAAAGAACTGGTATATAGAGATCCAGATATGTGAATCTGGTGCCTTAAGGGTTGTTAAACAACTTATTTGATTTGCTGACTTACAACTATTTCTAACAGTAATATGCAATTTCACAATTTTACTATTTTTCTACAGACATTTATAATATGCTTTAAGCCCTTGTTCCTACTATTATCACTGTAATATCTCATATTAACCTGGGAGAAGGTCACATTCATTTGACCTGCATACCATTTTAAAGTCTGGCACCTCCGTGGCTTCCTCGGGCTTTAGAATTCTATGGAGGTCACACTGGTTTTCTACTAGTTATTCTTCTATCAGCAGTGAAGTGTTATTGATTTGAAGTAAGTTTTAGTGCTCATGTTAATATTTAATGTGAATGCAGTACAACATTTGAACAGTAGAGAAGGGCCGTGACAGAATAGTTGCAAATAGTAAGTTTTAGTTGTGAATTCACTTTAACATTTTCTTCTTCAGAGAACTTATTTTCAAGAATCCCCTGGAAGCCCTACCAAAGTGTGCACCTCATCCACCTGCTGCTGTTCATATTTTAAACAATAACCAGCAAGTAGCCATTGTGACCAAAACAGCCTCAAGTTACATTAGGTAGTTTCGCACTTATTAATTGCATTATATTTTAATCGGATCATAAAAGATACATGCTGGTAATTTTTCTATTCTTTGAAGTTAGTAAAATGCCCAGCACACTGAAAGTTAGGTTGGGTAGCAGTGAGATAATGCTCTTCATTTCTGCAAGATCTTTGCAGATGCTTCTTTCATTCTTTGGCATCGTTCACCCTTTCTGTCTACTTCCTGGGGCTTGTAGCTGTGCTATGAAAGAGTTGACACCCTGTGTCCAGAATTATGATGATGATGATGATTATTATTTTTATAGTCCTTACCGACCTCTCCTTGTGGCTAGAGGCAGGTTACAACATAGCTAAAATGTATAATCATCATAAACATTATAAAATACATATATGAAAATGTATTTCTAGAAATACATATATTAAAATATACAGAACAAAGATTAAAATATAGTGAACACAAGATATGAGTTTAAAATTCATGATTAAAACTTGACTGGGTAGGCTTGTGTTTTAAATTCTGACAGCTTATTTAGCTGTTAGTGCTCTTCTAGCAGGTCATTCCACAGTCTTGGGGTGGCTGATGAAAAGGTCCTCTGGGTGACGGTCACGAGTCGAGTTCTGGCAGGCTGGAGTAGCTGCCTCCCAGAGGACTTCAGTGTTCGGGGTAGATTGTATGGGAATTATTGAGGAAGATTGACAGGACCAAAAGTTTAGTGAAATTAAGATCATACACACACTTTCTTTCGATATAGGAGCTCACAGTTACTAATAGCACCACCAAATGCATTCAAATGTGAATATAAAAATTTAAAAACAATTACATCTTCTGTGTCATGAAACGAAAATATTGAAGTACAACTAAAACACTACTAATCTTCACAGCACCCCCCCCCCCCAAATAAATCCCATTCTCACCATCCCCAGCAGCCTGCCCCTCATCATTCCATAAATACCGAATGCAGACGTACGTTTTTACCTGCCTGCAAAAGGCAGGAAAAAAATATACACACACACTCAGACTCCATCCCTGGTCTCTCTAGGGATGGAGTCTGAGTGTGTGTGTGTAATCTAGCTAGGCTTGAAACAAAACAAGTGCCCATTATATTTCACTGCATTGCCTTTCTTTATAATATCATTTGAGGACTCTTTTTCAAATAAAAATAAGAACTATTTTGAAGCTAATTTTTGGGCTCTTAGCTGTCTAGAAATAACTACTAATTAATAACCAGCTGATGGTAGTTTAGATGATAGGATGTTTTTGGCCAGCCTGATAGCTGGACTTCGAATCTAAATATGTAGTATAAATACTTTTACCAGATATTTGATGGCCCACAAGGTGGCAGCAGTTGATAACAGCTGAAACTAGTTCTTGTGGACTTTGAAAAGCAGATGTCCATTGGACACATAAATAAAATGTTAGATCCTTTACATAGAATTAATCTGCTAATGTCAGAATTTGGAATTCCATTTTTAGTTATCAATCCTCAAATAGGAAAAGGGGCTTTCTTAACTGTTGCTTATATTGGATGTACCATAACTGAAATAGAAGATATATGTTGCCTGATAGATATGCCCTGAGAATGATCTTTTTGAAATACAATGTGATCCTTGACTCCCTTCTTATTAGCCAAATAGTAATATCTGGTTTCTGGTTCATGTGAAGATGGGACAATTCTTCGTCAATCATTTGTTGTGGGATAGCCATCTCCAGGGATAGAAACTGCAACCTTTTGTTTCTACTCGAGATCATTATCCTAAGGAGAAGGCAAAGAACCGCCACAATTTGGCAACATAAACACTATTTTGTTGTAACTTCAAGTCATTTTAGTACTGGAAGAATTTGCAACAGTGCTTTAATTCTTTTTTTGTTCTGTTTTTTTTTGTTATGCAACATACTACTTTTTAAAAGCTTTTTAGATATATATGTTTTAACATTTCACGATTACTGTTGCATCAAGATCAAATAGGATAAAAACTGGTTCTCCGGTGTTGAATGCCCCAGATGTTGCATCATTGAGGGCAGATGGAGCTGATCATAAAAGGAACCAACCGGTGATGATTTCAGAAGCAACTCAGACCTCTGAGCTGCTGGTTTCCCCAGTTGTTCCTGTAGAACCTACTTTAGCTGCCCAGTCTGTGAAACCTGAAGTGGTACCTACAGTTACTGACAGGTATTAAAACCCCAGATTTGTTAAAACCTGAATTTTGGTTTGTTGTTTAATATAAATCTTCCTTATGTATTGTGCATTACGATGAGATATTATATGTACTTGTACATGTGAAAGTTGAGGACAGATTTTGGAACCAAAATTATAGATTTTGCTATGACCCAAGGATAAGTTGAGATAAAACTTAACTATCTCCTTCTCCTAGCCTTTTCCTCTCCTTTTAAAAATGCACAGGAGAACATATATGCAGTCCCCAAGTTACAGACATCCATCTTACAAACGAACGGGGGCTCAGACAACAGAAATGAGATCAATCTAACCCTCAGAAGGGAATTTTTTTCCTGAAAGAGCCATTGGGGAAAAGGTATCTCCACTGAAGCTTTTGCACTAATCTTTGTTTCCACAACAAGCCAAATTTCTTCAAAATCCAATTGTCACAGGGCAGACAGTGGGGTGAAATCTTTTGAACAGGGACAGACATAGTAAACAAAAACACAGGGGTGTTCACTCTTTTCCTACGCTATCCAAAGTGTGTGTGTATGTGTTTGGAGGTACACTTTAAAATTTACCTGTTCTGACTTGCATACAAATTCAAGTTAAGAACAAACCTACAGAACCTATCTTGCTCGTAACTGGTGGACTGCCTGTACTTAGGAAGAGCCAAAGAGGAGAGGATCTGGGTTATAATGGGAGGAGAGTGATTTGTTTCTAAATTGCATTGCTGATTTTACAATGCCTATACCTATATAAATATAGTTAGGGAAAGGAATATAGATGAGGAAAAAGAAATGAGGATGTGGACTGAAAAACAGGAAGAATGAGAATAGCAAGGAAAGCGGTTTGACACTATTAAAGACTCAATACAAATGCAGTAACGAGGCAGCAGGATGATGTGGAAGCAGTCCTCCCACACCATTACCCAAATTAAAGAGTGTCTCCTTCCTCCTTTCTCACCCTTTTTCCAGTCCAAATAGCATTCAATATCAAGGAGAGCCCAAAATGTGTGCTTACTATTTTGGATATTTAAAGTGGACTGGAGCAGTTGAGACCATTTTTGATAGAGGTTTGCTGTAGTCTTGCTGCAAACCTCATAAGGCTTATACAATAAACCACTATTTAAAAAAGCACCTTTACTCTAATTGGAATTCCCAAAATGATGAGGAGAACAGAGCATTTCCAGCTTTAACCCGTAGATAAGTCAACCCAGATCATTTGGGTCGATTTTTGTCAAACGTTTTTAACAGCACAGGAATATATACGACAATAATACTTTCACTAAGTTGGAAAAGTAAGAAGTATCAAACTGACTTTTCAGTTAAAACTGAATGAAATATGCATGTCTAACTTTTCAATTGATGTAAGTCTAGAGACAGGGAAAAATTTTGTAGTGAAGTACTTTGAAGCCTAATACTAAAAAGTTACACTGAGTCCGCCACACCTGTACTTATTTTTCCTATGAGACCAGTAACCTTGAAAATATATCTGGCTTAATAGTTCCTTAATATCTGTGTTGCTCAAAATAACCTCATGCATTTTACCTCTATTACTGTTTTAATGAGGAGGTGGCTATTTTTCTTTTAGTATCTCATATAAGCTATTAATGGAAAAGGTTAAACTAATGATGTAGAAGATGCTCTGAAATAAAGTCTCTGTTGCTAAAGATAGTTTCATAGAAGACTGACAGATGATGTGATAATGATGATTTAATCAGCTTCTGGACTACTAAAAGTCACAGATATGTATAGGAGCCAAGGTAATGTAGCTGTTTCAGTATTGGACTATGACTCTGAAGACCCGGGTTTGAATATCCACTTGGCCATGGAAACCCACTGGTGACACACTTGCGAAAGTTACACACTCTAAGCTTCAGAAGAAAGCAATGACAAATCTCCTTTGAATAAATCCTGCCAAGAAAACCCTGGGATAGGTTTTAGTTTAGGGTTGCCCATAGATCGGAAATGACTTCAAGACAACAAAAATATTCCTGTGTTATAGTTTCATGATAATTATGTTAGAAAATGTAGACCATTATTTGTTTTAGTGAAAAAGTATGAAACTGCTACTCTGATTCTGGCCTGTATTGATTACCAGACTCTCTTTAGATTCAACAATATGGAGGAACAAATGGAAAAGCTATAAAATCAGGAGCAGGCAACATGGGCCTTTCAGGAACTACTTGACTGGAAGTCCTATTGTTGGGGCCAGGAAATATGAAGTGAATTTACAAGGAAGAAGACATTTGAGAAGGGTTAAAGAGAGGGGATGAGGGAGCTAGAAGGAGTGAAGAATGAAGGAATTTGGGATAGATAAGCATTGCTTACCACCAAGACAATAGGTTTGGGTGAGAGGTGAGAGGTTGACCCAACAGTGATGGGAGGAAGAAAAAATGTGCAGGAAAAGTTTTCCAATATAATATTTTTACAGAAGATATGATTCTTTACAGAACAGAAGGAACAGAGAGATCCAGAGATGGTGAGATGAAGGATAATCTGAGAGGGAAAATTACAGAAAGGAAAGATGGGAAAGGGAAGTTTGATTTTGTGTGTGCATGTTTGTGTCAATCTGAGATTATAAAACCCATGATACATTACTGTCAGGTGCGTTACTCTGCTTTTGCTAGTTTGGCAACCACCCCTTGGTTCTTCTGCAGAATTTTCCTGCTGCTTGGCTGGGGGTTGGACTGGGTGGTCCATGAGGTCTCTTCCAACTCTATGATTCTATGAATTAAACTATTGTATTTTTAATCTCTTCGTTTTTAATCTTTGATTGGGAAAATAAAGAGACCAGAGATATTGGGGCACTGTACATCAACACGATCATCCCTTATTATTGGCTAGGCATGGTTGGAATTATAGGCCAGCAACACAGCCTTTCCCACCTTTGCATACATTAAATCATTAAACAAAGCTCATCTCATTTGTTGTTTTTGTTGTGTGTCTTCAAGTCATTTCTTATTTATGGTGACTCAGAGGCAAACCAGTGATGGGTGTTTCTTGACAAGATTTATTCAGAGGCTTCTTCCTTTGAGGATGAGAGGATGTGAGTTGCCCATGGTCATTTAGTGTACATCCATGGCTGAGTGAGGATTTGATCCCTTGTCTTCAGACTCCTAATCCAATACTCAAGGCACTGCATTATGCCATCTCTCATCCTTTTATACTAAAGAGCTTTTTGACAGCATCAGCATAGGCTCTAGTGTACCCTGTTATAACAAACTTTGTTTCTTCTTTAATATTTCTGTCTATTTTTCCTCTTTGTTGCGTGCATATGTTTGTCACATTGCTTCATACTTTCAGCCCATCCTCATAAAACCTTTTCATAACCCCCCCCCCTCCCCAGGAATAATTTATGTGACTCATATTCATCACCACCAGCACTTTAAAACCTTCTGACACATGGTACTTTAAGCTTTAGATAAAATACCTGCAATGGTCCAAATTAGTAATAGGACTTTATTAAAGAGATTTGTTAATAAAAGGATGTTTTTCAGAAGAGAATTGAAATACTAAAATTAATCATTTTAAATAAAGATTTTATGACAATTTTTGAGAAATGGGCTACTTCTGCTGGAAACTCCATTGGGAGGTTTAACACTTGCTCAGGAAGGATCGTTTTCTTCCCCCACCTAAAGATCCTAAATGTCTTCCACACAATTTCAGTGTTACTCTCAGCAGTGTGCCCCACTTCACTAACCAGCCCTTTCTCCCACTTCTCAACTACCTGTCAGCCCAGAAAGTACATTGTAGTCTTTAAAAACTGAGTGGAGCATTAAAGCTGGTTTAAAGTCTTTCTAACCAATAAAATACCATCAGATCCCACATAGGAAGTTTTTAATCTCCCTCTCTCCCCATCCCTTGCTGTCCACTACTGTCACTATGTTTTTTTCCATATTGAAAGAAGCATATAGTTTTACGCAGCCCTTTTAACACATCCTTTTCCTTCTTGCCTTGCAAGAGGTCAGAAAAAAATTCCCTCACAGACAGAAGACTAAGAGCCAAGTTATTTTGCAACCTGAGACAGATGAGCAAATATTACTCCTCCTAGCAGAGTCATGGTTCATAATTTTAAGAGCCAAGCAAGCTATTTTCAAGCCTGAGGTAGAAAATTCTACAAATCTCTTTATCTTTCTACAGTGAGAAGGACTTAGATACATTGAAAGAATAAAACCTGTTTTTGAATAAAGACATATAGAGGACATAGGCATCTTCTGTTTTATACAACACAAATGCCCATTAAGAATGCATCTACACTTTAGAATTAATGCAGTTTGGCACTAATTTAACTGCCATGGATCAATGCTAGGGAACCCTGAAATTTGTAGTTTGGTGAGCCACCAGCTGTTTGGCAGAAAAGGCTAAAGACCTTGTACAACTATAACACTCATGACTCCATAGCAGTTATGTCAAACTGCATTATTATACAACATAGATGCCCCCTTAGTCTAGTATCCTATATACCCGGCAGTGTATGAAGGCAACAATCTACCAGTTTGGTATAAAATCTAGGTTTCAGGTTCCAATTCTATTGCATTACCTCATGCAGATATTCTGTCTGTGTACTAGATTTAGCTTTATGTTTTTCAAATGATCTTTGAAGTAACTGTTGTAATGTATTTTTCATATATATCTTTCTCTGTACTTTCACTTTCATGATTTTCTTCTCTAACTTTCTGCGCTAGGACGTTGCCAATGGAAAATCCATTAGGAAGTTGCCCAACACTTTCTGCTGTACCTTCAACTTCACTTTCAAGGGTGATACCATCACAAGTTAGGAATAGTGCTGCTGCAGCTGCCGTATCTACTGCTGTTGCTATAAGGGCCAGGTAGATGTTGAGTTGTACCCTTCGAACCTCTGTGAACCTTATGAAGAAAAAAACACCTGTGCATTACATACATGTGTGCAATTCAAAGTGGCTGGTTTCAACAGAGTTCATACCTTAGACTATCTTTCTAAGCATCAAAGTACCTATTCACTGTTGTTGTTCCTCACTGACTGAAATAATGATTGGATCTGCAGCATAAGAATGGTCTTCACTTATACAGTCACTTTCAAATATACACAATGTAAGCTGCCATGGCATGAGTAATATAATATTGGATAGTGCTGCACACTCCTTACATTGATTATACATACATAAAACAGAAAACTAGTTTATTACTTTGGTATTTTCAGAACTTGAGTGCATCATTCTAATTATTTAAATCAGAGGTGTCTGCATTGCTGAGTTTGGCTACTGCATTAGGCCCCCAGGAACCCATCCACAGCACTGATGCTGCATTTGCTCTTACTCCAAATCCTTTTGAAATCACTCAGGTTCGTGTCATTACAAGAATAATTGCATCCTAGAGCCCCATTTGCATTATAGAACACTGCTAATCTGCAATCCAGAAAGGAAGACAGAGCACTGATAGTTTTTTTTTTTTGGGGGGGGGGGGGGGGTTGTGGTTTTCAGTGATGTTGCAAAGTGGGAGCAGCAAAACCCACAAAAATAGGTTGTGTATATGACACACAGATCATCAGATACAGGTTTGGGCCTACCACACACAAACCATACGCAATAGGTGAATCCATAAAGATTTAAAATCTTGACAACAATACCAACTGTTTTTTACAGCACTGTTGTCAAAGCTTTGAAATGGTTAGATTCAGCTTGCAGTTTTGGGTAGAACATAATTTCAGAAAACAATATTTCTCTCCAATAAATATTTGAATTAAACAAATATTTTGAATTATGAGAGATTTGTTGAGACTTGCTGAAATCTGTCAAGAAAAGTTATCTTCCCAGAGCTTGGTTTTGTTCTGCTGCAGCACAGTTTCTTTCTCTCAAAGGTTGACAAGCATCATATACTGCAACCAACATTACAACTCATTTCCAAACCCTTGAGGGCTGCGAGACCCTTTTTATTTCATGGAGCCCTCTTTTTTTAAAGAAGTGTTCTTTTATTCATAACAGAAACAGAAAAAAATTACTTGTCATTGCAGGAGCATGAGCAGTCCGTTCTGTACGTTGCTTAAATAGCTGTTTTACTTATTCTTTCCAAATGCTCACCAGATTCTCCCATCAGAATACATATCGTTCACTCTTGGATGCTCTTCTCATTACTCCTATTATTAAACCTCCACCTCTGGAAAGTAGACCATCAAGGAAATCAACAAGTATTTTGGACATGCAAAGGAACTGGACATAGTAAGAGTGGTCATAACATAAAACATGTTTTTAGCACTCTTATCTTCTTGTCCCTCACTTTCACGTTATAACCTACACACCTTAAGAACTATGTTAAATCACGTTTGCACTACTATGCACTATTCCTATAGTTTTCCCCTATTTGGGAAAAGTGGGAAGAGGGGAGAATGCAATAAGTCTTTTATTTCCACTAACATCAATCAGCTACTGCCAGAATTATACCTATTCCAGCATCATAAAATGTAGGACAGAAATGGTAGGACAGGGAAAAAAAAGCTCTTTTCAGTTAACTGCTCCAAAGCATAGCAGCAGGACTGCATGGTAGAAATGGCTCATATCCACCTCTGGTTCCCACTATGGTATGCAAATTATGTTAATTTAAAATATGCACACTGATTGTGTCTTTCCAACATGTTTTGAAGGTATGATAAAATTCATTACACCAAGTTATTTTGGTGTATGTTACGTTTTGTGACTTTTCCATTAAGTGTGAGGTGGAAACATATTACCACAGTGGCATCAGGATTTTTAAATGAAATGTGGGCAATCTCTCCATCCATGAAGAAAGTCCATGTTGTTCTAAAGGTGTATTACTGGAACAGGGAGTTCCTCATCCTTAGTGCCTTAATATTGTGAGACTGTTACTGTCAGTAAATGGGGCAGCAAATGATTTTACACATATGTGCCAGCTCTTCTCTATAAAATACTTCATGTTTCCTGATAGAGTGGGACATTTTGTTCTGTCAGACTTCCTGACCACAACTATGGTACTATTAAACCCTACGTTCATTGGAAGCTTTATATTTAACCTACAAACCAGACGTCTGTGTTTTGATGGGTTAGATGCAGCTGGCTCATTTATTGTGTCTAGCAAACTAGTTTCCTCTACCTCTGAATTCATGAGCCTTTTCAGTATTAATGTGCCTCAGGAATAGGTATAATTCAAAATTTCCAAATGTCATTATATCACAAGTTTCTTAAGTTATGAATGCTTGTTCCCTATCCAGAAAACTGACCCCTTCTATGACGTTTTTTAAATATTTCTTAAAATTTGGGGTGGTTATGTCAGTTCTAACCAATATTGAGGTACAGAAAAGCATGGTAGAGTGAGTTTTTTTTCAGATGATAGGGATACAAAAATAATATAAACCATAGATGTATAGGAGATCAGGGTTTAGCAGTATAATAGCCTAAAAGTAGGTAGGTTTTATACGTTGTACTTCAAGTGAATGATCAAGTGTCATGTTTGCACAGGCATAACTGCACAAAGTCCGATGAGCTTCAACACATCTGATCACTGCAATGTGCTCTTGTTATCATGCATTACTTGCATTTCCTGCATCTTTGAACTGGTCTAGTCCATGCATTCAATGACTTTGGATGATTCCCAACCTATCTATACATTGTTTATGTTTGTTTTTATAAAGTTCACCACTAGACTTATTATGCCTTTTAGACATGGCCAAGCGTAGGTGATTAAGATCAACTTGTTTGCATATTTGCAATATTTAGCAGTATAATGTTCCTGGCTCCCTGCAAACAACAGTTTTCATATGAGAAACTGGTCTCAGGGAGACATGTCTTTTTTCTCTTTCCTCCTTTATTCTTCTGCAATACGGAATTAATTTTTGATAGTTAACCTTAACCATAACATTGCCATGATCTTGAACTGCATTATGAAATGGTCTTCAGGTTCAACCTGATTTCATGAACTAGAACGATGGTCTGAAATCGTCTTACAATTCAGCCAGATTTCAAGAACTACTACTGTGATCTGAAATGGTCTTACAGATAAATCAGATCTACTTAGACCATAGTCAATGTATGTGAACATGTACCTGAGCTATAGATGACCCTGGCAAAGGAAATGTATGAAGTTAATTTTGGAGGGGGGCAATCACTTTAGATTGCTCAATTTCTTAATCACAGTTTGCAGGATGCCAGGACTGTGTTTGCAGAAGAATGTCGTTTTCTCAACTATAAAGATCTCTTAAAGTCAAAACCAGTAAAAGTTTCATCAATATGCGTACACATACATATTTACACATCTGTCATACCTATGTGTTTTCTTTCCCAAGAAGCCTAAAACTCCAGGGATAAGCAGTTAGGCTTTAGCTGAAGTGACATCCCAGTAATTAAATGATTTTTGCAACAAATATTGCCTCATTTGTCTACTTTAAACTAAGCTTTCCATTTTTAGAACTGCTCCTGTTTTTTTGAGTATTTATAGACTGGGTTTCCATGTAAAGCAATCATGATTGTTGGCACCCAACAAATGATAACAATACCAAACCAACTGCTGTTATGATTAAATGAACAATCACCATCAGCCCACCAAAATATGATTGAAATCAAATCAAATGTTAATAGTTAAAATAGACTCAAACAGCCAAGCAGTACAGTAAAGTCTAAAAGTGATATTTGGACAAATAGTTTCTGCAATGCCACAATTATAACATGTGACTTCTATAACTTCATATAAATGACAAGAAATATGATTTAGAGCAGTGGTCCCAAACTAAGGCCCACAAGCTGGAGGTGGCCCTCCAAGGTCATTTTTCTCAGTCCCGTCCTAACCTTTAGACTTAGGGTCAACCTAAGTCTAAAATGACTTGAAGGCACACAACAACAATTCTAGTTAATTTGATTATCTCATCAACCAAAAGCAAGCCCACATTTATTTATTTATTTCATGCATTTCTACCCTGCCCTTCTCCCCCCCCCCAAAAGGGGGGGGGAATAGCACCGTACGATGCTATCAACATGTACTTCCCATTGAAGTATTGGTACATTTCACTTATGTTGGTTAAAATTCTTCTTCATTTTAAATATTGTTCTTTCATGTTTTTTGCACTACAGATAGGATATGTACAGTGTATACAGGAATATGTTCATGCATTCTTTTCAAACTATAGTCCAACTCCCCAACTATCTAAAGAAAGGTCTTCAGTAGCACTGCCCTACTTGTCTTCATCCTCCCCATCCTTTTGCATTTCCTTCTTTTACCTTATTAAGTGGTATCTTTAGCAACATAAACAATTGCCCTTGTAATTTTACAGTGGAAAGTTTTAAAAGGCAAAACAAAAGCAGAATTGAATTATGGAGAGAAAAGCAAGTCCTCTTGTTTTAAAAAAATCCCCTCTGTATATTTTGTGACCCTGGCATCAAGCATTATTTATGTTGCCATTTCACAGGCAATTTTTCCAAATATTTCTCTTTTTTGTCGGCAGTCATTAAGAAGTGGCAGGCTTTGTCTTAGTATTCTGTTAAATTAAATTGGGTCACATTTTTTTTAAAAAAGTATGGCTTGATTATAGCAAATTCTCCTAATTTAAATTTGAAGATGTGCTAGAGATAAATTACCTTAAGATTTCGGTCATTTTCTCCATGCTCATAGTATTTTATGCTAAAAATGAACTTGACCCCCTTTAAAAATATTAAGGCAGTTACAATGGAGAAAATTTAAATTCTTAACAGTGATATTTTTTCTAACATATTAATTGCAGTAATTTAAAAGAAGAGAAAAATGAGATTATTTGTTTTGGCTGCAGTTCTATACATCCTGCATTTTGTGTGTTCAGTCCCCAGAACCCACCAGGCCTCAAATATAAAACTTGAAGTAGTTGGTTTTTGTTTTGTAATACCCAGGAATAGAGAGGATACATTTGTTTTAAGGAGAATTTACCATCCCAATAAGTTTTCAGTGGGCTATTGATATCTGTTGGGGTTTGATTACAGGACTCTACCACCACTCCACCCCATGGATACCAAAATCAATGTTCAAGTCCCATTTTATACAATGGAGTAGTGAAATGGTGTTCCATATATAAAATGGCAAAATCAAGGTTTTGTTTTTGTTTTGTTTTTTAAGTCAAGTCATAGATGGTTGAATCTATGGATACAGAATTGGTGGATACAGAGAACTGACTGTATTCAGCTATATGTTTTTTCAGCTGGAGTCGAGGGCAGTTGGTGAGTCCAGGAACAGCCCAAGGTTCCAACTATTACAGAAAATAAATATTATTATTCTCAATAGTTCTTCCTTTTGAGTCAGCCAGTATAGGATTGCAGTATTAATAATTTCATGAAGTGAAAAGAATCTTACTTTGCCATGTATAAAGCAAAGAGAAACATATGAAATTAGTTTATTTACTTCGGCACCTTTAAAGAGCATAGAGACCTCCAAAGGGAAAAGATTTCTCATACTTTAGTGTATTGAAATACTATGTATGCATTGGACCTAACTTTTCTACAATGAACATGGAAAAATATGAGGTCTCCTGTTATATTTCCTGAATCCTCTTTCTATCTTGACAGGGTAGATGGTTTTGGGTTGTTTTGTGTTATAGTGGCTCTGCATTAAACACTGTCTTGAGGGACATTGACCTGGATCCAAATTTCTTTTCTTAGGATGATATGAACCCTTTATACTTTTCCACCAGTTTTACAATTTAAGTTAACTTAAATTGGGTTGGCTTGTTTGCTTGATTGCATAATGTATTGCTGTGACTTTTAGCTTCTCTGCTAATTTTTAATGGAGCATATTGCTGCCTAGGCTTTTAAAAATCAAATAATCCCTAATGGGCTTTTTAAAACATGCTGTTCTACCAAGAGTTTTTGTTTGTCTGCTAGTTTTTAATGGATTCTGTTGTTTGGTGTGTAATCTCATCTATCCTTTGTAATCCAATCTCGAAGCTTTCAGGTTGAAAAACAGGATATTAAAGACTTGAAATGAAATGAAATAAATAACTATACAAGGAGTTGTCCCATATATAAGAAAAATCACGGCTCAGGTTTGTCCAAGGTTTTCATGATGTTAAGTTTTAGCATCCAGTCAACCCTGCACCTTTCATATAATATCCTAGGATTGTTGGTTTTACATAATCTGTTTTAAATAACAGATCTGGGAAGTTCTTTGTTAAGGTCACCTTGAATCCCATATTGGGATTAAGGTGGGATAAAAAAATTAAAAATTTGGTTGGTACAACTCATGCGAATTC